TTCATCTCTAAAATCTCTAATATTGGGTTAACAAAATAACTATGTTCAGGGGTTAGTGTGATAAATAAAAGCAGTTACACTTCTACATGGCTTTACAGTATTCTTATTTGAATACTTTTAAGAACATACTTTTTGAAAAAAGTGCCATTTGTTTAAACCATTCTGAATAGAAATCTCAATACCTCAGTTAATTTTTGTTTCTTCTTAAAGCAAACAGACACAACTTAACTTTTTCTACAGGATAATTATTAATATAAATAATAAGATTATGTATGACTATGAGGGCTTCACAGGTGGCACATCAGTAAAGAATCTGCCTGACAATGCGGGAAATGCAAGAGACGCAGGTTAGATCCCTGGTCAGGAAAATCCCCTTGAGTAGGAAATGGCAACCTACTCCAGTATTCTTGCCTGGAAAATTCCATGGACAGAGGAGCCCCGCGGGCTACAGTCCATGGGGTTGCAGAGTCAGACACAACTGAACATGCGCACGTGCATGCACACACGTTTCCACAAGCTATCAATCAGTTTCTTTAGGAACACTTTAAGATAGCACCTGACAAGACTTAAAGTTTATAGAGAAGTCTCCATGCTAATTATTTCCAAATGTAACAATTTTAAAAGGAAACAGTTAACATTTTTAAAAACTATAGCCGTTTTACTGTATCCTTATTCACAATCAAATAACTTGTGCTTGCCTCTTGCAAGCCCCTTTCTCCTCTTCTTAATGTGCTCACGCAAAGTTACTGTGAGCTAAGAACAGATAACCATTTCATGGCAGATCGATCTGGTGAAAAAAATATGGGCTGTAGAGACAGCTCTGTGTTTAAATCCCAGGTATGCTACTTATTTTGTGATCTTGTTAAGTTACTTCTCTTTAGCTTCAATTTCCTCATCTTTAAAATGGGAATGCAATTACCTATACTGAAATGCTGTGGTAAAAGGCAAGTGAAAATTGAGGTAAAAATCTTACAGAGTACTTTCCAGTACCTGCCAAAATAAGTCATCCTGTCGATGATAATTATTATTACATAACTAATGCAGGATGTTAAAACTACAGTGAAGTTACAAATATAAAGGATTTCTTATTTGGAACATATGCTTTTAATGTGTGAAATTCCTTGGCACCATACTGGAGATACAAAGATGAAAAAGGATATATGTATCTATCCTCCAGAGGCTCACAGCCTTTAATTAAAGACAGACACACAAACAAAATCATAGCAATTTGGTAAGTGAAACAGTAGAAGCAGCAGCACTCCATTTGAAGTCAAAATGCCTTTCTGGAGGAGGTGACAGTTAAGCTAAGAGGATAAACAGCTCACCAGGTAGGACTTAGGGACTGAGGTGAGCTGACTGGGTGGTCAAGAAGGATGAAAGATCACAGGTGAAGAAAATACATAAGTAAGAAACACCTTGGTGAGGTCTGGAACAGAGCACGTGTAGAGAGGAGAGTTTAAAAAGGCCAGCATAGGCCAGATCTTCCTGATCTGGGATGCCAAACCAAGGAGGAGATGACCCTTTTAAAAATAAATAATGGGAAATCACAAAAGTATAAGGGTAATGAAGGAGGTGGGCTGAAAAAGACGCTCAGATTCCTATTACATAGAGGTTCCTCCAGCTGAGATGTTCCAGCTGATCAGGGAAGAGACAGAAATGACAGTCAAGGAAAATATAGTCCAGGTGGTTAAGTAGCAATGAATTTAAAGTAGTGATGTTAAGAGAAAGGAACTAAGAAAAAAGGCAATCTTGATTTCCTTAAACTCAAAAAGTTGGGGAAATTCCCCAATTTCTAGTTTGGGCAAATGGTTGGGTCATGAAGTCATCAGTCGGAAGGTGGACAAGAAAAATAGAAACATTCAGGATTTATCTGAATGCAATTATTTTACTAAATCTGGAGCGCAAATGAAGGTCGAATTAACTCCAATGGGAGAAATTAACATAAAGGCAGAAATGGAAGGCAAAAATAAGACATTCATATGAATCACACAGATTGAAAATGGTGACTACTACTACCATTGCCGATGAACATCCCACTTTGTGTCTTTCAGCTGTTTTCCAATTGAACAAACTGTTATATGTGAGATGTTACTTTTAATCTACATGCTACCTTATAAGTATGAATGCTTTTCCCAGAGGTCAGCTGAACATTAATGTTTAAGTTTTCTGAGCATCACTATCATGCCGAGATTAGCAAAGTGTTGGGGGCCTGAACGGTGCCCAATAAAAATGGAAGAATTAAGTAAATATAGTGTTTAGGTCAGTCAAGAAACCAAACTGCTTCAGATACTGTTTTAATGATGATTCAGATAAGCATGTAACATGGAATAATCTGTTTTTCTTTATATGTTGCTTTTTTCATTTAGGAACATGTAATTTTCAATGGTTTTGGAACTCTGAATTTATTTTTCAGAATTCAAGAATTCACCCCAAGCCAACAATTTATGCCTATCCATACTCCAGACTTCTGTACAGAAGTCAGTAAAAGAGTACAATTATTGCTTTTATTTTACGGAAAAATACTAAACCGCTTCATCTACAGGTCCATTCTTATATGTTAACAATGTGAGAGATCTTCACAGGTGTACTCAGGAGAGTATTTTATAGATTCTCATCCCTTAGAAGGAAAACTAGACAAGACGTGTTTCTTTATGTCCTTTCTTTGTACACAACTCAGATAAATGCAGATCACATAAACTTAGAAAATAATAATGACTGCCCACCAGATGAAAAAGGTGAATCAATGAATAAGCAGGGAAGATGGAGGCTGGGTGGAAGAAACCATGTTAGGAGGACTTGAAATATAAAAAGTCACAGAGGAGAGCTCAGTCAGTAAAAAGTGGAGGGCTAGTTTTTGGCTGTTTGTTTTTTATCATTTTTCATTAACAAAACAAAAGATATTTTAAGAGACTCAACAGTCTCTTAGTTTTTACTCGATAAAAACTAAGAAAAGAAAAAGCTCCATCATCTGTTCAAAGAATTACTTTTTAGGATAAATCAGTTCTTAATACTTTCTTTTGATGTCTATCCTTCCCTCTTATGCACATCTTTTTTGTTAATGAGTGTAGGCAGTACGGTCGTATTAGGGAAAAATCTAAATTAAACGGAACAGAATGACCTAACGTAAAAACTGAAAACAAATTAATCCATTGTTACTGGCACTTATTTTTACACAAATGTTTTTGTGTGATTGAAAACTGTGCATAATCTGCCTGGATGTGGACCTTGGAAATGTCCTGCTAGAGATTTTGGTATCGTAAATTTTCACTATTACAGTTTAGATTGTGAGACTGCAAGGAGCAGTGAAAGTCTAAGTCTGGGAGTCATCAGTTTAATTCTGCCTTCATTTGTTATCTCTGTAACTAGATTTTTTTTTCCTTATGCACCATGTATCTCAGTAATCTTATCTGTAAAATGGGACTAATAAAAGGATTTACTTCACAAGACTCACAAGGATAATGTAACAGGAAGACACTATGTAAAGACACTATGTTATTTTTGTAGCTGCAAGCTCAGTCCTTAACTTTTCAAATCTCAAGAATATCAAATAAACTAGGTGCCACCATTAACAGAAAAACAAGAGCCCACTCACTTCCAGAGTACTGCATGCAGTGTCTCACCACTGGAATCACACCATGAAGAGCTTCAAGTAATTTCTTTCCTTTAACCTTACATTGAAACATCTGAAAAAAACTGGTTTCAGACTCCCACTAGCTGAAGGCAGTTAACAGTATCCTAAAAATCCATCTCAAAGGACTAAGAAGATAATCTGCATGTGGAAAGTCTAGATTGTAATGGTATTAAACAGAGTAAAAACTAACAGTGGCTTGCCCTGCACAATCCTGTAAGTTTTAAGAAACTCTACTTTTGCTTACTTGCTTCTAACACTCCACTGTGAAGCAGAAAAACAGTATCATATACCAGTGGTCACAGCCTTTGAAGAACTAGAAGCTGGATCAGATTCTCAAGGTTTTAGAAGTTGAGCAAGATGCCCTCCATGATCATGTCACAAAGTTATACATTTTAGAAACAAAATGTGCTCCGTATTTATGTAATAGAGACTTATTTATTTTGGAAGATTTCTTTTTAGATCATCACCATACTAGAATCACACGTAAATTCTTTCATAATTACACAAGGCATAATTTCAGGGTCTAAAGGCAGGCCATTGGAATTTTAAGTTTACCACTCCATCACAAAGTGGATTCGCATTTGGGTTTAGGTTTGAGATTAGCCTTCTTCATCATGATTCTCCCTGTAAATGTACTATGACTAAACTACATTACTTTTTTATTACACATGTAAGCACTTCTAATGGAATCTAGGAGAAAGACGGAATCACTGAAGTTAACCCGCTGGTTTGAAAACTGCTCAAGTATCTTAAACACTCCCAGATGCTAACTGACAACCTGACCACTGGAAGCAAATTAAGTTATTCATTGCAGCGGGGAAGAGGAAAGAGGCCACACCCAAAGGTTAGAGTTCACAGTGAAGTGACACCAAGTTTCAGCATTTTAACTATTGCTATTTTCGGTACTCTTCTTTTTTTTTTCCTTTCACGGTCAAGGAACACTTTAAATTCATAACAGGCCCAAAGTTACATAGAAAACGTTACTCTGATTCTAATCACTTAAGTTACTTCATTCAGTAGTGGGCAGGTCCAAGATGGAGAATTACCTCATCCAAAGGAAGACTGGAAGTAATGTTGGCGTCGAAGAGGGCCGAACTCAAGTCCTCAGTGCTCATAAGCGACTCTAGAAGAGCTGGTCACCCACTCTCCCCAACCCCCGAGAAACCAGCAAGGCAAGGCTCTCTGTCACCACGGCAGTTATTTGACCCAGAACGCGACCGTTTTCTGTGAACCCAGTTTTCGGCTTTAGACGCTCCCGGCCTCCCACTCTCTCCGCACCACCTCCATCCAGGAGGTCGCCCCCGCTTCCTCAGCCTCCTCTCCATCCCACCTCCGCGCTCTCGCCGACTCCACTCATTCCCCCACTTACCTTGGCTACATAGTCTTTCACCTCATCCAGGTCTCCGTTTTTCAGGGCCCACATGAACTCCTTGTCGCACATCACTGCAGCGGAGCGGGCCGGCTGGCCGGACAGCAAGACGAGGAGGCGGTGGCAGCGGCAAGCGGATACCGCCGGGCGAGAAGGACACAGGGCCGCGCGGTAGCCGCACAGAAGAAAAGGCAGGGTAGGCGGCCAGGCGGGCGAGGCAGTTGGCCGCGGCGACCGTTAGGGCGGGAGAAAGAAAAGTTTTTTTTTTTTTTTGCGGCCACCGGGCCCAGCAGAGCAGGTTCCGCCTGGCCGCGGAGAAGCAGGAGCGCTTGCACTTCCGGTTCACTCCCGGCTAGGACCGTCCCCCAACTTCCTCTTCCTCTTCCCCGCGGCGAAACGCCCTGCTCGGGACCCCGCCCGAAAGCCCGCGGTGGAGCGCTCCGCGTGCGCAGACGCAGTGACTGAGCCGTCCGGAGAACGCCGGTCTGGGAACAGTGGGCGTGTCTGCCAGGCCAGAAAACTCGGTTGGCCGTTGAGAAGGGCCAGAGCGCTAGTGGAGGAACTGTGCAGCGTGAATGGGAAAAACTTAAAAAAACAACTGGCAATGTCGGAGCGCACCCTGCTCACCTTCTAAGTGTTCAGTAGAAATGTCTGATTTGAATTCCTTCCCTTTTCTTTCCCCTCCTTCCCTCCTTTTCTCCTTCCTTCCCTTCCTTGATCTTTCCTTTCCTTCCTTCACTATCGAGCATCCTTGGGCTCCTACTACATGTCAGACTCTGCTAGGAACAGAGAATTCACTTTAAAAAGAAAAAAAGGTTCAGTTCAGTTGCTCAGTCGCGTCGGACTCTGGGACTCCATGGATTGCAGCACGCCAGGCCTCCCTGTCCACCACCAACTCCCGGAGCTTATTCAAACTCATGTACATTGAGTCGGTGATGCCATCCAACCATCTCACCATCTGTCGTCCCCTTCTCCTCCTGTCTTCAATTTTCCCCAGCATCAGGATCCTTTTCAATGAATCAGTTCTTTGCATCAGGTGGCCAAAGTATTGGAGTTTCAGCTTCAGCATCAGTCCTTCCTGAATGAATATTGAGGACTGATTTCCTTTAGGATGGACTGGTTGGATCTCCTTGCAGTCCAAGGGACTCTCAAGAGTCTTCTCCAACACTGCAGTTCAAAAGCATCAATTCTTTGGTGCTCAGTTTTCTTTATAGTCCAACTCTCACATCCATGCATGACCACTGGAAAAACCGTAGCTTTGACTCGATGGACTTTTGTTGGCAAAGTAATGTCTCTGCTTTTTAATATGCTGTCTAGGTTGGTCATAACTTTTCTTCCAAGGAGGTTAAAAAAAAGAAAAAAGGTGTCATAAAACAATTACTGCCCTCAAGGAACTCTTCCATACTTAAGACAACGATGTGAATGCTGTGTGTCAAAACTACACATAATGTTCTATGGAGGGAAAAACTTGACTCATCTCCCCAACCCGCAAATGATGTCCAGAGACTTAAGACTTCAGTTTGATGCCATACGACAGAGCAGACTTAACTGACCAGTGCAATTTGTATTTGTGAAAAATTTGTTCTTTTGTTTTGTTTAAAAAATTTTTTGTTCCTTTGCTTTGAGGCTTCAGGACCGNTGTTCATTGGAAGGACTGATGTTGAAACTGAAACTCCAATACTTTGGCCACGTGATGTGAAGAGCTGACTCATTTGAAAAGACCCTGATGCTGGGAAAGATTGAAGCCAGGAGGAGATGGGGATGACAGAGGACGAGATGGTTGGATGGCATCACCGACTCAATGGACTTGGGTTTGGGTGAACTCTGGGAGTTGGTGATGGAGAGGGAGGCCTGGCGTACTGCAGTTCATGGTGTCGCAAAGAATCAGACATAACTGAGTGACTGAACTGGACTGAACTGAAACGGATAAATGATAAACCAAGCTACTTTTCTAGGCTTGCTGTATAGTATAGGGGATCAGAGAACATACTGGAACCAGAATGCTTAGTTTTAATAAAGGACCCAAACTATATTAATTTTGTGTCACCTCAGGCAAGTTATTTAACCCTCCTCTGTACAGTTTTCCATGTATGTTAAGTGGGTATGAGAACAGTGTTCAATACATGCATATATATCACCTATGATTTGTGCATGTGTGGCTAAATCACTTCAGTTGTGTCCAGCTCTTTGCAACCCCATGGCCTGTGGCCTGCCAGACTCCTCTGTCCATGGGATTCTCTAGGCATGAATACTGGAGTGGGTTGCTGTGCCCTCCTCCAAGGGATCTTCCCAAACAAGGGATGGAACCCACCTTTCCTGAGTTGGCAGGTGGGTTCTTTGCCACTCACACCACCCAGGAAGCCCTATGATTTAGCAATAGCAAGTAGAGATAGGATTCAAACCAAAAGAAAAATAGAAAAAAATCTCCAAATATTTAATAGCTACCTTGATTGTTATTCTATTAATTTTCCTTTCTGACAATTAGAAAGACAATTTCACATACCTAACAATGATACATTTCTGGAAACAAATCTCAAGAATGAGTTTGTTGGGTAACTCCTAAAGTTCCTATATGTCTTTTCTAACTCCGACCTGTGTGATATCTGAGTTACATCCTGCTGAAAGCTCTTGATTTATTTCTCTAGCCCAGACTTCTCTTATGTGATCCATTCTGATATTTAACTTCTTACTCATTTGAATGTTTCAGACTTAATATGTTCAAAAGAGGATTTGGTCTCTTCTATATTCTAAATTTAGTTGTCCCCTATACCATCCCTTCTCTGTGAATGACATCACCAAGCACCCTGTCACTAAAACCAAAAACATAGCAACAAATTTTCTTTCCTCGACTAAACTATAGTCAGACTCCTATGAGCCCTCTTAACTTGAAGCCTATAGACAGAGGCTTCAACCTCTGTCTATAAAGACTTGAACAAATAGGAACATAGGTCCTCTCGAGGCCACATCCTAAAATAATCCCAGTCCTCTTAAAGTGCCTGCATGAGAAAATTCAAGGGTGCCAAAGCCCCTGTTTATTCCAGTCAACACCCAAGACTGGGACCTCTCTCTCCCAGCTTCTGCAAAGAGGGTAGAATCTTAAGTCCAGTCATCACCACTAGCAAACACAGCTGGCCTAATTGCATTGACATTGCATGCATGTGTGCTAAGTCACTTCAGTTGAGTCTGACTCTTCGCTACCCTAAGGACTGTAGCCCACCAGGCTCCTCTGTCCTTGGGATTCTCCAGGCATGAATACTGGAATGGGTTGTCAAGTGGCTACCCACTCCAGTATTCTTGCCTGGGGAATTCCACGGACAGAGCAGCCTGACGGGCTATAGTGCATGGGATTAAAAAACTCAGACACCTTGACACTAACTAATCTTTTGTAATTTTTTACTTCCCTGACTTGAGTCCCCTGCCTTTCCTGATTCTCCCTTTAAAACACCTATTCATCTCTGTACAGATTAAAGTTTTGTTCGGTTCATGTTGGACTCTTTTTTTCCTTACAGCAGTAGTAATAAAAATAAAAATAAAAATAAAAAATCTGTTCTTACCACATTAACTAATGTCCTGCTTTGTTCATCCTTGACAATGTGAGTCATGGGTAACTCCTGCCGCTCCTAACCTTTCTTTTATTTCACCCATCAGTAAGTTCTGCAAAATATATCTTAAGTGGCTCACTTCTTGGCATCTTCCCTGCTGACTACCCCGCTATGGCCCTTCCTAACCCTGCCATCTCTTGCACTGCTACAATCGCGTCCCAGCTGGCATCCCCATTTTCACTCTCACCCCTTTCCGAGTAATTTACCACAGAGCCAGTTACTTTTTTAAACATAAATCAAACATGCATTTCTTATCTTAAGACCTTTCAATGACTTCCTATTGCATTTTAGGATAAAATTCTATTTATTTGCTATGGCATTCAGGGTCCTCTGTGATTTGACCTTGATGGTTTCTCCCATCCATGACACTCCCCTCGCATCCCTTTACTCTTTTGTTTCCCATAGATCTCATCTTTTGGCAGTTTCAGGAAAAATCAGGCCTACTCCACCCTATGACTGTTAAGCTTGTTGCTTCCTGTCTGGAATGTTGTCTTAATTCATGCTCACTTGGAGGTCTCAATGCAAATGTTACTTCTTCAGAGAGGCCTCCTAGACTATCCACTTTAAATAGGTCCCTCAATTGTGTCTAGCCTATAACCTACTTTATTTTTTTTAATTTAGCTCACTTATCACAAATATTTTCATTGCTTTTTGGTTACCTGTTTTGGCAGGCATTCAGCAATTTTTCTTTTCATTTGGCATCCCAGGCACAAGAGAGAATTGCTCTTCCTGGCTTCCTTGTGTTGGGATAATGTCATGTAACTAATTTGGGCCTATTAGTTATGAGCAGAAGTAACATGAGTCACCTCCAGGCTTGCCAATGCAAGACCCTTCAGAGGGCCCTATTCTCTCTCCCGCAGCAACCAGCAACATTCAAAACAGTGGCTGCAGTCAGCCATGTTCCCTAGCGACTGCAATGAGCAGAACTCCCCTGCCACCCCAGAATGAATAAAATGGTAATTAAACTTTCATTGTTTCAAGCCACTGAGATTGTGGTGTTTATGACTACAGCAACACTGAGCCAATCTTGGCTGACAGCGGTGGGCTATTACTAGAACAAAAATCTTCAATAGGTGGCATTTGTTTAGGGGCTAGGTGGTAAACAACAAAGGAAATGACGTTGGAAACTATATGGATGGTGATTCATATTTGCAAAAAAGAAACATTTGGCAAAACAACCTTCTGTGATAGAATGGTAAGGCATGGAAGGCAGATAATGTATGCTATAAACTTGTGGCTCTGGTGGAAGAGAATGGGAAATGGAAAGCTGGTGGCATGTGTTGGTAACTATTTTTATGTGTTGCCTGGTGAGGGTGGGGTGGGGGTGTTGGGGCGGTGAAGGACATGTTTTTATTTATTTTCTTTCCAGCTTTACTGTGATATAATTCACATGACACTGAATAGGTGTACGATATACAGCATGATGATTTCATATGTATATATTGCAAAATTATTACCTCAACAAGGATAGTTAACACAACCATCACCTCATAGTTACTTTTTTTCTTGTGGTGAGAATTTGGAAGATTTACTCTCTCAGCATTTTTCAAGTATACAATACAGTATTGTTAAGTGTAGTCACCATGCTGTACATTAGATTTTCCAGAACTTATTCATCTTGTAACTAGAATTTGGTACTCTTTGACCGCTTTCACCCATTTCCCCCACCTCACAGCTTCTGGTAACCACCCATCTACTGTTTCTGTGAGTTTGGATTTTTCAGATTCCACATTTAAATCAGACCATACAGTATTTGTCTTTCTCCATCTGACTTATTTCACCTT